TAATATCCAAGTACCAAAAGGAGAGGCAGGAGAGATGTCATTTCTGCTTCCAGACTTCTGACCTGCAGTTTCCTCAGCAGGAAAATGAATTGTTGGGCTGGGTCTGTGGTCCTTAACTTGGGCAATGTTTATATTCATAGGCAGCAGAATTGTTGAGGACAGGAGCATCGTTCTATCTTTAAACAAGCCGCTATGATCTTACCTTCTTTCCCCCTACTCTTTTGTGGAAAGTTTAAATGATTTTGCCATTAATTAACTTTTATAATTCTCTCCCTTCTCTCCTAACTTGTCCTGGCACATACAAATTAAGTCTCAAATCCTGAACCTTCCCTTAGAAAGGATGAGAAGGCATTGACAGGCCCACTTTCAACAGGAACTAATTCTTCCCTTGATTATTTGTTTAATATTCTGCTACTGGGCTTCAGGGAAGCACAGCGGTAGACCCCACTGGGGCACTTTTTCTCCTTCCTCTGGGAGTGCTCCTCTAGCCACATAGGCTCTCCAGGCTCTTAGCTTCTGCTGTTTCTGCTCATCCTTTACCTTTGTTTTAGAGCCACTCACCTCTCTCAGCGCTAGGCAACATTTTCAGTTCTGCCTTGCCCCCCCCCCCCCACTTGATTGTTGCTTCTCCCAAAGAAAGGTGAGAGAAGCGAACATCTGTCCCACAGTCCTTAGTAAAGCTCTGTGGAAGCCACTCCCTAGATGAGGAGAAGGGGGAGAGAAAGCTGCGTTTCAGGATGTACACCTTTCCTCTTGTTCTTTCGCCTTAATCACTATCCATGTTTTGCCTTCTTTCAGTTAGTTCCATTCTATTTTTTTTTCCCACAACATGTAAGATTATAAAATGTTTTCAGGGTTCAGAAATGATCTTGCTTTCCATGCCCTTCCTCGCAGTCTTTGCACAAATGCAAATCCCTCCCTTGTCCAAATGTTCACTAAAATAAAAACATAATTGGGAAGAAAAACAAATGTTAGAAACCCACCTTTGTTTTCCCACAAATCATATGGAAATGATCATAATTGCTGATGTTATTTATTAAGTTAGTGGCTGTCAAACTCAATGAGTAATTAAAAAACAAGCAAATGATCTGATAAGAACACACTGTCTGAAAGGAAGGCTAAAAAAGTCACACATTGTGATATACAGGTAGTCCTGTAAAGATCCAGATGCAGAATTTGTGTGGGTTGTAAATACTAATCTGGATAACAATGATCAGATCTTTATTCCCTGAAATAGGAAGGAGCTCTGCTTTGGTTCTTCAATTTACTTTTGTTTCCTTTATTTGAGAAGTCAAAACACTGACCTCTTTTCCACAGGCCCACAGCCCCCCTAGAATTACCATCCCAATGTTGAGACCCTGAATGTTTTTGTCTAAAGTGTTGGGGTGGTGAGCTGTGTCACGAGAAGGAAGGCTTGTGCTATTTTTAAATTGATGCAACATATCATACACATATCATACCAATGACACACACACTGTATTGTAACATAGCATGTGTCATACATACATTTTCTCTCACTCACACACATACTTGTTCTTCTTGTCCAGCTTGAGAAAAGAAGGCAGCCAGAAAAGCTGAGCCCCGTGATTTGAGTTGAAAAGGCTGTTAAAGTTTAAAAACCAAGTGTCCCTCTAGTTCTCAGCTGGCTTTGAGACATGTGGGAGGGCTTCAAAGCCTCCGTGCCCCTCTTTTAGAGATCAGGCTTGCAGTTGGTCCCCAAATGTTTACCAGCATAAAGATGCCTAACTTACAGGATGTGGAAAAAGGGTGTGGGGGGTGACAGTGGGTGGGTGGGTAGGGAGTGGGGAGAAGAGGGTGGGGGGTGTTCTCTTGATGTGGTTAGTCTTGTCATTGACCTTGTTTGGGTATAGCAGGAGTTGAATTAGAAAATGAAAACACATTTCATCTTGGGCACATTTCATCCCATTTTCTACTTTTTTTAGGAAAGATTATCCCCCCCCTCACCCTAGGTAGAATTAGGTTTCCAGATTTGATACCCAATTTCCCTTCATTCTGCCGTAGTCTTCTTCCCCCATGCAGTCATCTGGCTGCTTACCTTGCTCAATCTACTCAACAACTGTGAAGGGCCCTGTAGTCTGGGCTTGATGAACGGGGTGGTGATACCATCAAAGGAATGGGGGGCTTTCTGGGAGCTGAGCTATTCATGCTCTGCTGCCTTTGTGAAAATTCAGTGAGGTAACTGAGAAATGCTAGTTAATAAAGAGTTGGTTACTGTTTGGTTGTTTTGTTGGTTGGTTTTTGGCAATCTGAAAACACCAAAAGTGAGGGGAAATAGTTAATTTCTAAAAATGCACCGAGTTAGAAACAAGCATTTGTGACTTAAGATTCCAGACAGTGGCAGCCTCTGTTAGCATAGCGCTCTCTGCACAGCTGTGCCAGCGCCAACCTCTCCCAGCTCTGCTGAACATTCTAAATGCTGTGGTCAGGCCTTCTAGAAGGGTTGAAGTTCAGAAAGTCACTCTCTCTTCTTCCCCTGTAACACTGTCCTGCTAGACAATACCTAAATATGACTCTGTGACATGCTTTTTCTAATAATGCTTCCTTTCCTTTATTCTGCTCCTTTTGGGGCAGCTTTCATCTTAACTTACATTACTGCCTATCCTTCATGGCTATAACTGCAATAAAATTGGTTTGGTTTAGATTTGGGGGGGTCATTTTGAGACAAGAAGCAAACATTTGAGAGATTTTATATTCCAACACTGTGTCTCAAAATTTACTTTCCTTAAAGTTCCACTCATGGCCTTGTCCAGCTGAGCTAGAGCACCTGGAACTAATTTTAGGGTTGCCTGGCTAAGCCCCACACTGGTATTTGAAGTTTGCGTCCTCCTTAGACTCAAGCCCATTTCACCACCTCTGAAGGTGAGTGCAGGCTGATATTAATTAACAGTGAGCTGATTCACTGGCATCTTCCAGTCATTAAAGTAAATAGTTGGCTTAAAAATAGCCTCTTCCCATCTCAAATATACAACTTTTTGCCTGTTCCCTTACTCCATCGTGATTGACTCACTAGCTCTTACATGGTGTATGTGGCGTAAAAACAGGGATTAATTCTAAAAGGGAAGTGAAATACTCTTTAACGTCTGCTGGCGAGACTGTGGAACAGCACTCCAGCCTTCAGTATGACTACATTGTTTTCCTGTCCATTGTGGCGCTGACTCAGCATCACTTAATAAACCCTCTGGAGAAGGCTGGATTTCTGTTGTTTAATTATCATCTTGGAGCTTTCTGAGAACTGCTTTAAGAATTGTTCATTCATTTTATACCCCTAGCACATCTGCCCACGAAAAGTCCTGCTTCCTCTTGGTGCTAGCGTCCCCTCTGGCAAAACATGCAATAACAGGTCACCAGGCAGAAGTGGGGGAGTGTGTGTTACTTATGTCCCCTAGTGGGAATTTAATTGTTCTGTACTACAGAGATTGTGGAAGGATTTTAGACACAAATATCATTTCCTGGCACATAATCTTTTGCCTCCCACTTAGCTCCCTCCAAAATACAAATTATAAAAAGTTTTTTTCTAGAAGAGAGAAAAGACATTTTTTAAGGATAAACAGACATATTTTTATGATTGAGTTGGACTTTTGTTTTGCTTTGTTTTGTTTGTTCCTGTAAACAAATACTCACATGTCCACTTCATTGTATGACTAAGTTGGTATCATTAGGTTGGACTGGGTGTGTGTACGTGGGTGTGTTGTGTGTGTGTGTGTAGGGACATGAGTGTATGTGCACACATGTATTTAAAATGTTAGAAACGATATTGTAGCCTCTGGTCGAAGGGGAGATGATTTTAAAAACGACCAGCTACATGAGGCAAGCAGGAAAAGTGGGGGACTTGTGTTTCTGGGATCTAAACAGTAATTGCAATGGGGTGCTTACTATAAATGGATCCTTTGCATCATTGTTTCTCCGAATTAGAGAATTCCTTGCTGAAGGCACAAGACCATTGAAGGAAGTAAAGCATCTGGTTTGTTTTGTAATGAGAAGCAGGAATGCAAGGTCCACGCTCTTAATAATAAACAAACAGGACATTGTATGCCATCATCACAGGATGTCCTTCCTTCAACAGAGGACTGACTGGGCTGGAGGAAGAGCCCGACAGGGCTCAGAATGAGCCCCACTAATTACTGCCTCCGTCTGTCTTCCACTTACAGTGATCAGTTCATCATTCCCTTTACACTTTGCTTACAGACTTCTTGGAAGTCTGGCTGTGGTTTTGGGGAAGAGAAGAAATTTTAATCTGTAGGATTATGGCTTTTTCCTATTTCCTTATTTACTAAATAGTTGAAAGAGGGAAGTGACTTCTGCCAAATGTGAAGGTACGTTAGCTGGAGAAAAGGACGCTTTTGAGTTGGGGGGTGGGGGTGGGGTGGGGAGGGGAAACATGTATTTCATCCACATACCTTAAGAGTTACACAGCTACACTGATTTATTTTAGATGCAAAACTAATCTGACTTGATCTTTTCGGGTAAATTTTGTGTATTCAGTAATTGGATTTGAGCTGAGAAACTACAAAAATTTGAGGTAATTTTAAGGTTTCCCTTCGTGTGAGGAATGAATGTCCCCTTATTAAGCCACAGCAAGTCTGGAGTATTTAGAAAACAATACAGCCCAAGTAAACGTTGAGGTTAAGTGCCTTCCAAGGGAAGAAAGACGATTCCAAGTAAATATTGGAATTCGCAAGCAAGAGAGGAAGCTCTGGGCGGCTCACGATGCGGGGGGAAAGCCCTGGGCTGAGCTCCGCGCCGCTCGGGACTGCAGGTGTGGCCACGCCCCCCTCTTAGGGCGGATGAATCAACGAATGGGAAATTTGCAGCAAAGGGAGGGGAAAGGAAAGGCCGCTCTGGTTAACACACACTGAAAGTGCTGCCGTGACACTCGGCCCTCCAGCGCTGCGGAGGGCAGAGCAGCTCGCAGCACCTGTCCGCCGCCGAGAGCCGGGACGCGGGCGCCCAGGCAGCCGCAGAAGAGCAGGGCCAGACAGCGGAGGTGCGCGTCAGTCAGCCCGCGAGGGACGCGGGAGGAAATGCGGACTGTGTAGACATGAGCGACACTTATCTCAGATGTTGGATATTTGCTTGGAAAAACGTGTGGGTACGACCTTGGTAAGGAACTTGAGCTTGTTTTTAATACTGAAATTGATCTGAAAAGTTTTTTTTTTTTTCTTTCGCTGAAGTAGTCTCAGTTGAAGACCAGAAATGCTTCTACTTTCAGGCACTTAGTATTGTCATTTGTAAGCCTTGTTCTTTATGAATCATTAACCCTTTCAGTTTTAGACATAATTGTCAGTTCATTGAAATTTCAGTAGTGGCTCCTGCCCACCCCGTGCTACTATTCCGGGTTAGCTTACTTTTAAAATTTTAGCTTTTATTTGGCATCATGACTGTGCATGTTGGAACATGTTTATTTAAATTCTAACTTGAGAAAAAGACAACTTCGCATTTAACTTTTTGAGAAAACATCGTATTTAGGGGAGAAACAGAAGAGTGTAAAAGCCACTTTGAAGGACTTCCCCTGTTTGGGTTGCATTCTAAGGACAATTCTTCACGGAAAAGATACCCAAGTTCCTTTTTTAAAAATAAAACATCTATATGGGAAAACATTGCAGAAGTTGTTTGCTTCTTTGCTCTTCGGAAGGCGCTTTTCTTGAGTGTGAGGCGGGTTTGCGGGAATATTCTTATCAGTGTACAGTTGGATGCAGAGCTTGTCCTCGGACTCTCTAAATTTGTTTTAACTTTAGTTACAGTAAACCGTAGCACATCAGTGACTTCTGGGAATTCGTACACTTTCAGATTTAAATGGAAAGTGCTATTTGTAGCTGAGGGCTCCAAAAGGAATTCTCTCCAGGGAATTCTATTGAACAGTTTTATGTTTTGTTTTGCTTTTTCAATTTGGCTCGAGATGCCCACAAGTCAACAGAAGCTGCAGGGAGTTCCCCCCGTGCCCCCCCCCCCAATTTTCCCTCCTCTTTTCCTGTGGCCCAAATGATTTCTGAAAAGCTGCAGCTCAGTGATGCTGGCAGGATGCAACCCTTTTCAGTCTTCCATGTGAGAGGATGAAAGAGAGCGCACAGCAGAGGGGGGGGGGCGCGGGTTGTTTTGAAAGTTGTTTTGCGTTGGGAGCTGGTGGGAAAGTTCAGTCTTCCCCATTTGGAAAAGGCAGGCTGGGTTCCGCTCCTGCACCACACGCGCTTTCCATTTTTAGCTTCATTCAGAGGCAGACAGAGCTCCTTCCTCTTCCTTTCCTTGTTTGTGACACTTTCTGAGGCAGCTTTTCCACAGCGCTGAGGGTCTGGCAGCCATGACCCCAGGCGCTCTGGGATATAGGACTGAGCGCCCACAGCATTTTTCTGCGGTGAGAGGTAAAGACTGGGATTGTTCGAAGGTGGTTCTCCACTCCAACCACCCCTCACACCCCCCCCCATGAAATTGCCACACTTTTTTTTTTTTAAGAGTAGCATTTAAAATCCCTGCTTCTTCAAGGCATTCTTCTTTATATGACTTTTTGGCTCTTACTCAACTGTACCAAGCACTCTGCATCTGCTTTTAAAGTCTTCAGACTACTGTATTAGTCATAGGTCTCCGAGGGAGCCACAGGACAATGGGGATTAAAGGCCTTTCCCTTCTCTTCCAGGCTGCCCCGAAGTATAGCTCCAGCGGTGTGAGGCTTGAAGGGTTGGCACAGGGGACCGAGGGGACCATGAAAATGGACATGGAGGACGCGGATATGACTCTGTGGACAGAAGCTGAGTTTGAAGAGAAATGTACATATATTGTAAATGACCATCCCTGCGATTCTGGTGCGGACGGAGGGACTTCACTTCAGGCGGAGGCATCTTTACCAAGGAATCTGCTTTTCAAATATAATGCCAACAGCAAAGAGGTAAGCCTCTGGTTTATTGCTGAAGAAGATTGGCACCTGACGCCAAATCTCCCCACTTGCCCTTGAGGTCTCCTCTATCTGTGAGAATCTGTAAGTGTCAGTAAATAATTGGTCTTTTTGACCCACTTTTTGACCCTCATTGATTTCACTTTTCCCTGAGTCTACCTTCCTTCTCATATCATTTAACTCTCAACTGTGTCATACTGATTAATAAACAGTTAAAATTTTTGGCACGTTGACTTGTCTTTGAAAAAACAAGTTGCAGCACAAGAAAGCCGCTGGTCACTCTGGACCCACTGATCCTGGTTCCCTGGCTCTATACTGACTGGCTTCTGAGAGGGAAAACTTTTTCTTAGGAAAAAAGTTGGTCATGTTCCTTTTGTCTTTTGGTCATTAGGTGGCTTTATTCTTTTTAACGAGCAAGCTTTATTAGCTGGGTTTCTAAAATTATTTTCAAAACCTTGACCTGTTTATGAATTGAAGTGATGGTATAAACTGAGCAGAGATTCATGTAAAAGTGTCCTCTGTCCCGATGACTTCAGAGCTAACCACTGTTTATCTGTGGCAGGTCTTTGCTCTGGCCGGACTGGCAGGCTGATTCCTTATGGGTCTCTGAAGTGGGTACACTCTTTGTTGTTTCAAAGGGGCTGAAAACCCAAACTTGCAGTGAGCAAAGGAATTGTGTTTACCCTTTTATATAACAATTATAGCTAGGTGTGATGTTTAGCTGTGAAATAACTTGCAGAACCACCTCTTGTTTTGAGCATTCAGCTACTGCAGTTGCTCCCACTGGTCTGCTACTGGACTCAGTGGAAGGGATCAGCCCTTCAGCGGACCTCACCACCACCACCATTAGCCACAGGCCATTGTCAGTTCTATTACTGCTTTTGAAAATAATGCAAAGGAATCCATAATTTGTAACTGGGATAAAATTCATGATAGCCATGTCATATCACTTTCTTCCTTCCCCAAGGGATAGCATTTGAAGGAGCCGGGAAGCCTGTTTGGGAAATACTTTGTCTCTTTCCTGTTTGTATGTCTGAGTTCAATGTTTTTAGTGAGGGGAAGACACAGCTGTCTAAAATTAAATAGAGCGACTCTACTTTGAGTTTGATTAATGCACAACCATTTTTCCCCCCCTGCTGGGAGAGTGAAGGTCTATTTTACAAAAAGCAAAATGTAAGTTGTAGTTGTACAAGAAAATTACCAAAAAACTAACCTCAGAGGTCAGCCTTAATTATTCTTCTTCCTGAAAGTAGCACTCTTCTCAATAGAAGGTCTCCTTTAATGTGTGACCCGTGGAACTGATGTAGGATTTTTTTTGGGTATTTAAGATTTGGCTGTGGCTTTAAAAGGTAATATATATTTTCCCCCTATCAGGTTTGCCCCAGTATTGGTCTGTTCCTAAGGTTTGTTTGTGCTATTGCCATGTCCAGCACATTAGGATGGAAATAAAGCTCTTCATGCTCTAGGTCATTTTGTCTTTTAATTCTGTAATGTTCTTATCTGTAGTCTAGCACTTAGCTCAAGTTTTTCGGTTTCCATCATTCTACTTCAAATAATGGCTAAATCAGGTAATGCCCTTAGATCATGTAGTTCAAAGTTCAGAAAGATAGTCCCGTACCCAAGATGTATATAGTTAGCACCAGAGCAAAGTTCTGACTTCCTTAACCACCAGTAGTGCTTCTTGATTATGCTACACTGGCCCCTCTTGGTGTCACTGTGGTTTTATTTATCATCTTAACATATTTCAGACCGATCCTTTATTTAGCTTGAGTGGGTTTATTTTCCCCTCTGAATGTAGAATTCTTTATTTCAGTATGTTAAACACCCAGAAAAGAGTTCAGTCCCTGTATTCCTAAAGAGGAAGTTCTTCCAAATTAATCTGGGAGATCTGGGTTTTGTTATTCTATTTCCCATGTTTTCTTGAACTGAAACACTTGCATAGAATAGTACATTTTCAGACTCTAACCAAAAAGTAACCAGGAAACCAACTGAAATGTAATAATACCCTAAGCTTACTCTAGAATTTTTTCTCTTTCTCCTTCCTATCTTTTTGAGCTTTGGGAAAGGACAGCTCCCTTAAGGTGATGAAAGAGGACTGTAGAATTAAGCCATTGAAGCTATGATAGCTGCAAACTAGTTCTACAATAAAATCCTCTAAGATTGGTGAAATGTTTACATTATCATTATTCAGTTAGTCCTTTCAGCCCCATGATCTGTAGAAATAGGGGAAAAAAAGCCTTTCTACGAGTAGTTTTTATCTGACTGATTGATCTTGCCCGTCTTTAAATGTTTTCATTTAAGTAGCAGAAGATGTTACATTATGTACTGTTGTGCTGACATACTGGGGATTTTTTTCTAACAATACCATTTTTCACTATGAATTTGTGCTATGTGTCAGCACCTTTTTTGGGGGGGTTTAAAAACAAAACATACAAACCATTCTAATCTTGACCCTCATTTTTTTTATAAGGCTTAGAATTGTTCCTCACCTTTAACAAAGCAGTTCTTACTTCCTATTTCCAGAACTTAAACCAAATATAGACTTACTATTCAAAACTTTTAAACATTTTTAACTGATGAGCTATTCTTTTAAGGGGATTTTCCCCTTGTCCTGAAATAATCATCTATGAATATTTAAATACAGAGAGATCAATTTAAGCATCTATATTTTAGAAGCAGTAGTCTATGCTGAGATTGTTTATACTTAACTGTGACTCTGTGAATCTGACCTCCCAAAGTTGTGTGGTGATAAACATCAGGCCAGTGATGGGACTCAACTGGGTGTCCATTCTGATTGAAGTCCATTATTAACTCAAGTCATCTGTAAAAAGTATCTCATCATAACATGCAATTCCCTCATCTCCATACTGCCTTTTATTTAACAGACAGCATCCTGAGGTATTACTGTGCTTCCTTTAATATAAAGATAATTAAGGAGGAAACCTTCCAAAAACATCTCTATTCACCCCACCCCTTTAAAAAAAAAAAAATGAATTACAGGCTGAAGTCTTTGTCCACTACAGAGTTCTAGTCATCTCAGTGTAAATGTTTCCTTATATTCAAAATAGAAATTCAATCCAATGAGTCATATTTATGGGGTCGGATTCAGGGAGGGGGAGAGATAGTAATTAAAATGATCGTAATGCCACTTGGCATGAAGATGCGCATAACACGTTTAGACAGTGATATTTTTGCTTAAAGCCCACTGCTATGTGTATATATTTGTTCTCAAAAGGAAGAGTTTGCTTTTAAAAAGGTGCAACAAAAAAACTTAGTCTCCCAGACTTTTCTTTCGTCACCCCACTTAAACCCTCCTAAATTGTGACGTCTTTTGTCTGGATGCCATGAGTGTCACACTGTGTTCTATAACTAAGGCCACTGGTAGGGGCCAGTCCTACACCTCACACAGAATAGAAAAACTCCTGGTAGGGGGAGGAAGTGGTGAGACCAGTGTCCTGTTGCCTCTTGCTGGCGTCAGGTATGGAAGGCACGTGCAGCCTGTCCCCAGCACTATTTCTTTAGGACCCTGGTCAGTTCCAGTGACTTTTCCTTCCTGAGTTAGGTGAACATGATCTAAATTAGTTTTTTCTCACACTGAAAAATTCTGGGCACATGTCAGATTATTCTGTATAACATGCTTATTCCAAGGATTGAGTGTTGTTGGTAAGATGCATATTTGGATCTTTGCAGGGTGAGGGGGAGAACTCTGACTCATTCTTCTACTTCACATTAGAAATGACTGACCCTGGTTCTTATCCTTGCCCCTACCCAATCTGCAGCTACCTGGCTGAGCACTGTAATCTTAGAGTTGTAGTTCTTATGTCTTCTTTGAATAGTACCTGAGACATGGATTAGAGTGCTGGACTGAGAATGAGTACAGATGTCATATGAGCCACACGATTCTGCCAACCTTGAAATTGTATGATTTTGTCAATCCATATAAGTAAGTTTATCTGTACCCTGTAGCTCTGTGCATAGTAAAATCTTAAAATATTTGGGTTCTGTTCCATTTATGAAGATGATCTAATATTGAGACTCTTCTATTTGGGATTTTTGAGAATTTTTAAAGACCCACCATGGATTCTCCTCTTTCATTGCTCTGATGACATCTTAACCTACTGAATTGCTTTTTGTAAGGTATTTTATGGCAAGAATGATTTCCAGTATTTCTTTATAGCATCCCCATTCACTGGCCTATAGTATTGGATGACTTATGTCCTTCCCATATATCTTTGTAGGAACTATTCCAATTGACTTCTTTTTGGTCATGAGAAAATGCTATTTTCTCATATTTTATTTTTATTTTCTCGTATTTTTAAATGTGAGATTGACAGCTGAAAATCCAGAGGCCCATTGGCTAAAAGAATGGCAATTCAGAAGAAAAACTCTGACCTCAATGCAATGCTACTTGTTGATAATCAAGCTCTGACTCCTAAGACACTGTCTGCAAGAGACTATAATTTAAAACAAAGTTGATGAACCAGTTGAGTACCTTTCTTAAAATTACTGCTTTAAAGTGGATATGTTGAAAATATCAGCTGCTAATTATTGGCTCACCAACAAATGACATTATTTGTTTTTCCTGCCTGTAATTTTAATATTAGGAATGATCACTCAAATATGAATGCCAAATGATTTGCATGTCATACAAGTCAATTCTGTGAATTTTTAAAATTAATTAGGTTTAATTTACCTTAAACAAAGCACCTCTGAAAAAGTAAGTATATATAAGCTTTAATGCATATTTTTATCTCGAGACCTGAAATATTCCTGTCCCCAGTAGTTATACTGCCAACAAATACCAATAACCATGAACTGCTATTGAAAGGGCAGATAGATGTAAATGAAGGCAGAGGAGGTGGATGAAAAGAACATCTGCTTTTTTCAGCTCTCTGCCAGAAATTCATAAAGAACCAAAAATAACACTCTGGCTCACCAACCTTGTTTCAACTTGTGTTAGGTGTAGGAAATTCTTTTTTTCTCTCTTTCCAGTCTGGGTATGTGCCATTGAGTTGTGTACGGAGTTTGAATAGTTGTGTTGTTGTTTTTGTTTTTTTTTTCCAATTCATTGGCTGATAAGAAATGCACATGAGAAAGACTAGTCAGTTAAATGTAGCTATGCTTATTCCATATCCACTTAAACAGAGGTTTAATTCTCGATGAGATTTAATGAGACATCAGTGTGTATCATAATCAAAATTTTAGATTCCAAGGTGAACAATTATTGATTAACATATCTCGGTTTACCGATTCAGGTACGCGATTACACAGGAACCACTAAGAAAAATAAACACTGGAATAAATATTATCTCTTACCTCTTGATCCATTTCAATAAAAAGTATTCAATAAGTAATTTGTGGGCTGTTTTGGGCAAGAAGAAAATTAAAATAGCAAAGTGAGGATATGAAAATAAAAACAGAACTATAGTGCCAAGTGTTGTAAAGGACTACTTACTTACAGAGGAGTATTTTGAATGATGATAAATTGCTTCCTGATTCATAGCTAATTTTTTTTTTCTACACACACAGCCCCCTGCCCCCTTCTTGAAATTTACAATCGAGGAACTTATTAGTTAACATGTTACTTTAGCAAGGCCCTACAATATCAAAATGTGTGTTAAATCCAGCCTAAGGTCTTCTCATCAAATCTTAGAACCCACAGCTTTCCTTAGTATAATTTCATTTCAAAGGAAGACTCTTGTCTACTGATGAATAAAAGATACCTGAGAAGAACAGCTACTTGAATGATCTTTCTTTCATTAAAGAGAAGTTACAACCTTTTTTTTGGGGGGGGGGGCAGGGTGGAGTGGGGAAAACTCATCTGAAAAGAAAAAATATATAATGTGCTAGATTTTGGCTCCTTGGGCCTTTGTGAAACAACCAAAGAACATTATTTTGGTTTTTGAGGTTAAAACTATTTTATTCCCCTTAAATACATGGTGTTTATGGTTTAAGAGAGAAGGAGAAATAGGAAACTCAGAGCAGACTGCAATAGTCTATAGTCCTCACTATCTAATTCTGCAGTATCTGATACTCATTCTAAGACAATGATTACCCTCTCTGTTCTGAAAATAAAGGAATGCTCAGTCACTGAGGAATAATCCATTAGACTGTTTTTTTAAAAAGATTTATTTATTTATGCATACAGAACTGGGGTACAAGCCAGAGGTTCAGGGCTGGCGAGAGGATTGACCAGAGACAGAGTGGGGAGCAAAACAGGCTGACTGACTAAGAACACTGCTGAGGGGAGCAGTGGGCGGGTCAGGAGCGGAGGCATGTGGGTCACCTTTGGGGCAGGATCGAACTCGTGCTAAAGTGGATTTAGCTTCTCAGTGCTGTTTTTTAAGCCGCTGCACCACCAGGGAGGGCCCCGTTAGACTATTTTATGCTCAATTGTTTATGACAACAGAGTTTAAAAAGATATAGTCTTCACTTAAGTTAAAGCTTCTCTCTGATTATGTTAGGCACTGCTAATGCCTGTTCTTAATATCATAATTTTGTTATTACTGGTTTTTATTATCACTCAACAATTCAGTTTATTGAAATTAAGTGATTAATATTTTACCATTAAATAATTGTTTCGTATTTTTATCCACTTTAGGTTATTGGAGTAGTGAGTAAAGAATACATACCAAAGGGAACACGTTTTGGACCTCTAGTAGGCGAAATCTATACCAACGATACAGTTCCCAAGAACGCCAGCAGGAAATACTTCTGGCGGGTAAGTAAGAAAAAATTTCCAGATTCATTAAGAATAGGAATAAAAATGGAGCTAGAAGTGCCAGGTCACTTCCTTTTTTCAACCTGTATACTGGACTCACCACAGGCATTCAGGATCCCCATGGCCATATACAGGGAATTCTGGGCAAATGTGGTAAAACTGGCTAATTGACCCTGGGGACATGGTCTGTCAGTGGTTAGTGATGGAGATATGAACTGTGCATCTTAATTTTTGCAATTCATTAGCCCCTTTGTGATGAAAGGAAACAGTTTGCTGCTTGCTTCAAGGTTAGGTTCATTTGCATTTCTCTACTAGGAAGTAGTAATGAGTCATTAAGCTTTACATTTTACCCCTTCTTGATTTCTTGCTGAGTTAACTTTAATTGAATGGAAAGAGGAATATTCATAAATGAATTATCTTGAAAAGACATTAAGGAGGGATGGTGGAACGTGTCCTAGGGGAATGGAGATGGACCCATAGGGCTTGTCCTGTTAGAATATGTCTGTGTTGTAAAAGTATTAGATTTGATAATATGTAGATTATTCCCATAAGAGAAATGCTTACAGTTGCGTGAGACAAAACTTGAATTACAATTACTCTGGCCACTTTTTCCTGGAATGCTTATATCTTTTAAACAAGTATTTTTATAAAAATCTATTTCAGAATCACCAGAAACTGTTCCCCAGGTAGGAGTATGTTCTATGCTTTTAGAAATTTAACCTACTGTTTTTCCAGGCAAAAGAGAGCACCAAAAGTTGTATGTTCCAAACTTTTAATAAGTTACTCCTTTGAAATATGTTCACTACGTGACTATAATTGGCAAAATATGAGCATATTTATCTTTATTGCCAGTAAAGTCTTCTTAGAAGCAAGAAGTGTGTAATTTTTGAAGTCAGAAGTCTAAATTAAGACAATACAGGATGAACTCCTTAATGTCTCTTCATTTTGGAAAAAAGGCAAGAAGAGCTCCCCATTACTCACCCAGCACCCTGGTTCACTAAATAAAGATTCACTCTAACTGAAATGCTTTCTTTGGGAGGATTTATTTGAATCAGTCTTTCATGTGCAAAGGATATTGTAGGAGATAACTTCCCACATGTTGTTAAAAGCATCCTGATTTTGCTGGCAGGAATATGAACATCTGTTGTGAGGAAAGAAAAAGTTTCATGCAAATTACACAGTCAAAGAAGAGAAGGGATGTTCAAGTTGAGAAACCAGTGACATTTCTTGTAACTGTATTATGAGTCAGCACGTTTTTAATCTTCTTGATAATGTATGGAAATGTAAAGAGGTGATAGGGAGCAGTGTTCACTTGACATATGCATTATTTTATTTTCTTGTGGGTGTGTGTATGTGTGTGTGTGTGTGTGTGTGTGTGTGTGTGTGACTTCATGGCATCGACATTTCTGTTTTTAAATGAGGATACAGTAAATTGTAGTCCGTGGAAGGCTGACTGGAATCAGCATACCCATAGCTTTAGAAAGCAGTTTCCGCCCAGCGAAGAGTGCAAGAGCGATGGAACCCCATGTTCCTGGAAGTTTGCACATCAGAGTAAACAAACTTGAAAACCCCTCTTGATAGCAGAATTCACCCAGCCTTGTTCCATTTTCTCTTAACAAAACACACCGCAAAAGCTCTCACAAGCTGCTTTGATGAAGCCACATGTATTTCCCCCTTCACAATTTACAGGAAGTTACTCTTAAAAGAAAGTGATTCTGGTGTTTACTGCCTGTATTAAAGGGACAGAGTTCCTTTTTGTCTTGATAAGCTTTGAGTAAAACACAAACGATTGATAGGCTGACATCGTCAGTAGTGACTAAGAACAAAGCCAATAACCTGCTGTCCATTTAGAGCAGAATTTCTGCTACCAGCAGTGCCCCGACTCGGAGACTACAAGTTGCAGATTACCAGGTATTGATTATATATATTTCTTACGTCTGAGGGAAAGGTAGTGCTTCTTAACAAGAGGGGGAAAGAGGTACTTTCTCTGGAAGGATAAGGAGTTGGTTTATCAGGTAGTTTCAGTAAGAATACTTTTAACCATGTGGCGGGAATGCATCTGTTCACCAGAAGTAGTATTATTGGGCAAAACTTGAATTCTTCAAAGTTTGCCTTGCCTTTAAAAGAACAACATTGTTTCTTCCTGGTCTTTTTCCAAAAACACATGCCTGTAGTTCTATGAGTGGTGTCTCAGCTAACCTCCCAGATAAGCGGGCTCCCTCTCCCCTCTTTGGCTTGAAAGAATAGAGCAAGGCTGAACATGTTTATCAAGAGGAAAAGTGACTTCTCAGTAGACTGTCAAATCCTGGCTTCTGTCCCAGTGTTCACTTTGTTATGGCAGGTGAGGTTCACCTTTGCCCCACCCAGTGTTTCCACAAGAAGGCAAGGTTCCAAGTATTCATATGATCAAGTGTTACTTTAGGACTTGGAGAGTTGGGGGTGGAGGATGTTTGCATAGTTTAAGCCTTGGGCGGGGGTGTAGGAAATGGCAAGTACAGAGGCCATAGAAAAGTTGAGAGACTCAGTTTGACGCATTCAGTTGACTTAGTCTTCTACCCAGTGACTCAAAGCATTAAAAGTCAGCAGAATCAGAACTGAAGTCAGTAGCATCGCCCATTGGCTGTTCACTGCCGTGGCAAAGTCACAGACTGGTGGTTTAGTCCATCTGAGGCGGCGCCTGCAATGAAATTTTGTGTTTCACTCTGTTATTTTTCCCCTCCGAATGTGAAAAGACCATAAGATTGAAATGGAAAAGGTAAAACTGAAAGAGTGTGCCGTATTGTTGCCACCATTATTTTTGCTGATTCACAATTATTCTGGCTAAACCAATTCCTTTTTCTAATTAGGCATTAAGAGACCCAAAATCACACACAGTACTTGCTGTGTTTCTTCCCAGAGGTTTGGGGGTATGGGGGGGCGGGGAGCTTTCCATTGCTTTGGGGCTGACTTTCTTTGACGTGTCTCTGGCTTCTCTTTTGGGCAGATCTATTCCAGAGGGGAACTTCACCACTTCATCGATGGCTTTAATGAGGAGAAAAGCAACTGGATGCGATACGTGAATCCTGCACACTCTGCCCGGGAGCAAAACCTGGCTGCGTGTCAGAACGGGATGAACATCTACTTCTACACCATTAAGCCCATCCCTGCCAACCAGGAGCTTCTTGTGTGGTATTGTCGGGACTTTGCAGAAAGGCTTCACTACCCTTATCCCGGAGAGCTGACAATGATGAATCTCAGTAAGTGGATTACGGAACAAAAAAAAATTAAAAATGCCAGTAATGTCAGTTCTGCCCCCCATAAGCTAATAGCATGTTGTTTAATTATATGGCTTCATCTGTTGGGCCTAGTAGGTGGCTTCAACAAGGGGCTAGGAAAAGGGAAACGGTGCTTTTTAGCTCCGAGTCCCTGTTACGAAACTTGATGATTTTTAAAATATTAAGATCTACTTTGATGTATAATTCAGAAAGTTACAGGAAAAAATCTATGTCTAATTCTAATCTATCCTAAAGGGGACAGAAAAGAGGTATGACAGGAATTGGCCCTGACAAGGAATTGCCAAGTATGCAAGGAATAGCCCCTTGTTTGTGGTAATTTATCAATGCTAGAATGTCTGTTGGCATATTAGAGATACATATTTGGTTAAGATATGTCTGATGTGGAACATTAACAGATTAGTCTAGAAAAACTCACAGTTACAATTTTTAAATGTTATTCTAAGTGGAGTATACTTCGAAAGATTTTAGATCTTAGCTTCCTTCTTTATGGTAAAAACCCATGTATCTGATCTGCTGATCAGTATTACGGTAGCCACCTATCACTTAAATCTTCAGATTCTCAGTTCCTTATGTTTATAAGCTTTTACTTTTTTATTTATTTTGTCATGACCTTTCTGCAAAGGGGTGTTGTATTTTAGTCATTCTCAGGTGATTTCAGTGAATGATTTAAGAATTACTGACAACATTCTAAGCAGACTATGATGGTATGTTCTTCCTTAGGCTGCTAAGTTTCAAGTAGATTTGTAAATGAGTTCCTTTGGGTTTAAAAGTGTCAACATCTGAATTCTAAAAGCTTTGTAACTTTTTGTTTTACTATCATTTCAAACTTGAGAAATTGCAATAGGACAAAGAATTACCAGATACCGGATTTATTCATAGTTGACAGGCTAGCCCATTAACTTTAACTGAATATTTCATTTGTTTTAGTTCATCTTTTTACCTTTGAGACATTTGGAAGGAGAATTACTGCTAACATAAATTGAATTTTGACTTAAACTTAGGACTAGTTAGCAAAATCAGCTACGTTTACTGGTAAGGTATAATCCAACTCTTAACTATTTGATACTTGTCTCACTCTCTAGTTTGTTTACTCATAGTTGAACTTCCAATAATCTCAAAACTGGATTTGTAGTGTTCTGAATATCTGGTGCTGTAAAAACTTGAGGACTTCCTCCATAGGATCACATTTTAAGATTTGTGTTTATGTTCCTTAACACATCCACACACACACACACACAGTGTATGTACCCTGGAGCTTCAAAAAGAAGTCTTAGAATGTTTAGAAACAAACTGACTTTCAGCATGACAAGTGGGTATAGCAGGCCAGAGGTAGTACCAAGTCCCTCATCTCTTCAGAACTCCTAAGTGTGTCTGTCAGATCCCCTGTGCCTGGCATCCTGGAAGCCATTTAGCTATTTCCACATGTGTATGTGCCAGGCCCAGGACTCAGGACCTAGTGGTAAAAGGTAATTTACATTCCATCAGGGCAACTCGGGCAAAGATGAGCTAATCTTCCTAACTTTCTCAGCATAGCAAGTCACTTCCTCCTGAGGGTCTCCTACATTCCTAGAGCTTACCCCCATTCATACATTGAGGGAAAGTCTAAAAAAAAAAAAAACAACCAGTAATCCCCAGTGACTTAGCACCAGTCATGAAGAGCCCTTTTCATTACTTGCCTCTCCCTTTGCCAATCAAAGAAAGATTTCAGTCACTAAATAGAGACAGCACGATGTTATAAAATTTAAATGCTTATTCTTTTTATTCACAGCAGCTTTCATTTTACCATGAAATGCTTTTCCCCTTCAAATACTCCTTTTTATTGTCGCCAAATAAAGGGTGGTTTACCACTTTTAGGTACCCTTTCATTGTCCAACATAGATAAAAAATGAGAGTTAACAATGACCGGTGATATAAGTCAAGACTGCTGCAGATTGTGAAACCAGTTGTCTTAGGTGTGGTAGCTGATGATTGACACTCTGATCAGGAAAATTTCCACTGTTTCATCAGTCCTAGTAGGGAGCTGGTGTCTTCAAATGAGTTGTATTGGGTTTCCATGCTTAAGCACAACAGAGGTCTCTGCCAGAATCTCAAGGAAGGGTTTTCGGTGGTAGTGATGGTTTACTGGTAGAGTTTTGAGAAGAGACTCGAAGCAAACAGAGGGAAAGAAATACGTAGCTAGAAAAGCACCAATTGGCATTTAAACACACACACACAGAGAAAAGGAATAAGAACTATAGAATTTGACTCCTACCCCTCCCAAGGATTTTGGTATTTTTTTTCTATCTATCTAACTAACCCATCTAGAAAACAGTTGACCAAATTATAGACTTCTAAATGTTAATCTGCTTTCTCAGTTTCAGTTGAAAACAGACTTTGTTTTGCCTACTGCAGAACTTCTAGGTTCTTTCTTGTAGTCTTGGGGGTTCTTATTATAGATCGAAAATGTGAGTCGGCATAATTAAGCCATTCAGAGCCTTCAGAAGCAGTTCACTCTTGAAATGACTCTGTCTGCCGCCTACAGCCATTTAAGATTTAAGAACAAAAACAGATCTTGATTTTCTTTTTCATGTTAACTCAAGCTGCTGCTGAGTGGGAGAGTCAGAAATGACACCAGTTCCACTGATTACTCAGCTGCTGAAGGATGATTTTTAAAAATGTACCTTCGTATAGACTCCAATTTCCACCCTAGAACATCTTGTGGTGGGGGGGGGGGGCGGAGACAGAGGGCTGACAGTTCCCTCTAGAAAAGCTTTGAAAAGAGAGATAAATGTATTATTATGAAGACAGATAACTTTTATTGTGGATTACTCTATGCCAAGAAGCCACTGGAAAAATTATGAAACATAGATAATTTGCCACATAAAAATGACAGAAAGTTATGACAGTGAATCCTCTGTTTTCATTTTGTTTGGTGGCATTTTTTAAAAATGTGAATCCATGTGGGTGTCTCCACATCATTCTTTCTCACCTCCATAAAATTTCTTCCTGTAGCTGTAAGATGCCTTGCCTATCAGTTTTCCTACTTAGTTGTGCCTCTTCCTTTACCATTTCAGCTTTAAAAAACAAAAGTGACAATTTGAACTTCCTGCCTGCTGGGCCTCATTGAAAGACTGATATTGACCTGATAAGGGGATATTTATTTTGGTTTCGTGGCTTCAGAAATCCCGCTCCCTCAACAAGCTTTCCATCACTACCCCCATCAGCGTCTTCCCTGATAGTGCGTTGCTGTGTTTATTCTGGAGCTGCTGGCTCACCCGGGAATAGCTGATAACAGCTAGAAAGAGATAACATTCTCTGAGGGGCTCTCACACTGGAATCAAATCCCTCAAGCCTGTCAGCCTAGAGAATGGATTTGAAGAGTTCAGAATCTAGAGTTCCATGGAGTTCATTTCTAGACCAATCACGTATCAAGCCTGTAGTTCTTAGTAAATCAAATGGGGACTTTTTTTTTTTTTTAAACAATGATGACTGATAGTGTTACAGAAATTCCAGCATATTCCTTTGAATCTTCCTCTCCGAATGCCAAGTGCGGTCAGCCTCCCAAAGCTGCTTTACTCAGGCTCTCAGCTGTTCCTGTCAGTTGAGATCAGTTACATGGCTGGGAGTGATCACCTCCAATAACCAGAATTCCAGCTAAGCAACAGTTTTTCCTTTTGATTTCCAAGGAAGGCTGAGCAGGAAGGTTTGACTTACCCTGCTCTAACTGGTGTTTTCCTGAAGGCATCATTTGTTCCGTGTGTTGGGAGAGCTAGGCTTGGCAGAGTCTGGAGAAAAGGCAACTGTCCCCTCCTTGCTGCTATTCCTGAATAATATGCCATCTTTGGGAGCAAATGCTTTCATCTCAGCTGCTTGTTTTCTTTGGTGCTCTTAGTAATTGAACTGGCTGGGGAAGTGCCTGTTGTGGTTTGGCAGAGGTGGCTAGTGATTCCAGGGATAGCCTTGCTGGGAGCCTGGTTGGGCCAGACAAAAAGCCTTGGTGAAATTCTTGTGTTGTCAGCAAATCAACGAGAAGGGGTGGCATCCTCCTTGCTTGCCTGCCCACTTGTCACAGGCAGGTTAAACAGGGTTGTTGTATTTTTTTTTTCTCTTTTATCAAGTTCATATTAAACACGAATCAAGGTGAAAAATGATGACTATTTATTACTTGAAGTGAGTCTTAATCTTTCACATCAAGTTCACAGAGTGTGCTGATTTCCTTTAGGTACTGTGAACATCGGAATGAGTTTCATTAACCCGTGACACTCCCACCACAGTGTTTTTCCACCCCATTTTTAATGGAAGCTCTTCTGTTCTAGCTTGAACAGCACTTTTCTATCACAAGGTTTTTACTAATGGAAACTAAGTAATCAAATGGTGCTGCTGCAGTTGTCCCTGCTTTGCTGAGAAGGAAATGGAGCTATGTTTTTGAGTGAGTGGCCCAGAGCCTTCTAGACTGAGAGGAGGGTGAGAAGCCAGGTGTCTCTGACCCGAGGCCAGCTGTGTTCAGGTTCTCACAAGGAGAGAGCAACTGTCACAATTTCACTTCAGTTCTCTAAACCCCTCTGAGTAATCACCTTTCTTTATTTCAGCACAAACGCAGAGCAATCCAAAGCAGCAGAGCACTGAGAAAAACGAGCTTTGTCCAAAGACTGTCCCAAAGAGAGAGTACAGCGTGAAAGAAATCCTGAAGTTGGACTCCAATCCTTCCAAAGGAAAGGACTTGTACCGTTCGAACATTTCACCTATCACTTCAGAAAAAGACATGGATGACTTCAGAAAAAATGGGAGCCCCGAAATGCCCTTCTACCCCCGGGTTGTTTACCCCATCCGGGCCCCACTACCGGAAGACTTCTTGAAAGCTTCCCTGGCCTATGGGATGGAGAGGCCGACTTACATGACTCACTCCCCCATTCCATCCTCGACAACACCAAGCCCCTCAGCAAGAAGCAGCCCAGACCAAAGCCTCAAAAGCTCCAGCCCTCACAGCAGCCCAGGGAACACGGTGTCACCTCTGGCTCCTAGCTCTCAAGAACACCGGGACTCTTACACCTACTTGAACGGGCCCTATGGCACCGAAGGTTTGGGCTCTTACCCCAGCTATGCGCCTCCTCACCACCTCCCCCCAGCCTTCATTCCCTCCTACAATGCGCACTACCCCAAGTTCCTTCTGCCCCCCTATGGCATGAACTGTAATGGCCTTAGCTCCATGGGCAACATCAATGGCATCAACAACTTTGGCCTCTTCCCAAGGCTGTACCCCGTGTACAGTAACCTCCTGGGTGGGGGCAACCTGCCTCACCCCATGCTCAATCCAGCCTCTCTCCCGAGCTCCCTGCCCTCCGAGGGAGCCCGGAGGTTGCTTCAGCCTGAACATCCCAGAGAGGTGCTTGTCCCCGCACCCCATAGTGCCTTCTCTCTCACTGGGGCTGCAGCTAGCATGAAGGACAAGGTGTGCAGCCCCACGAGTGGGTCCCCGACTGCGGGCACAGCCGCCACGTCAGAACACGTGGTGCAACCCAAAGCTACCTCAGCAGCGATGGCAGCCCCCAACAGCGATGAAGCCATGAATCTCATTAAAAACAAAAGGAACATGACTGGTTACAAGACACTCCCCTACCCCCTGAAGAAGCAGAATGGCAAGATTAAATATGAATGCAATGTTTGCTCCAAGACTTTTGGCCAGCTCTCGAATCTCAAGGTAGGTCAGACAAGAGTGGGGTCTGCTCATCCACCAGTGCCTGAGCCTACAAGCGCTTCCACCTGTCTGTAGTTAACTGGCTTTCTTGGGTTGTAAATCTCACTTTCCATGGTGTGAGACCCGAGCCAGGAATAAGTAGTCTGTGAGGGTTTGAGTTTGCTTTTGCCACCCCAGGCTGTGTGGCTTTGGACAAATTACTTACCCTCTCCTGCATTTCTTCTGATTGGTAAAAACATGGGGTTTGGGCAAGATAATCAGTTTCAAGTCCCTGCTAGCCTGTGATTTTTGTCCCTTTAGCTCAAACAAAACAAGTGTTCTGGAAACACTGGCACTTCATTTGTTCTGTTGAAGACCGTCTTTGAAAGGTGTCTGTATCATAAATGTCTGGGCTCTTTGAACAGAAATGTTAATTCTTCCACGACTGAGAGCAGAACTAACCCTTACGGCTTCTTCCAGGTCCACCTCAGAGTGCACAGTGGAGAACGGCCTTTCAAATGTCAGACTTGCAACAAGGGCTTCACTCAGCTCGCCCACCTGCAGAAACACTACCTGGTACACACAGGAGAAAAGCCACATGAATGCCAGGTGGGCAGTATTTTCTGGGTAGAACTTTGCACCTTTGGAGAAAAATGCCTTCCCATGTCATTCAGCCCAGGGTTTAAGCCAACACAAGAATTCTGTTCTGCCATGGGCTGGCAGCTGTGCCTGCTGATGAGCTGATGACACAGCCAGCCTCCAGTGGGTGGAAAATGGCAGGGGAAATAAACACCACCTCGTGTGCAATGTGCCGTCGCCCTGTTTGCTTAATGCCACACTGTAGGTGCCACAGGGAGGCTTCTTGCCTCCCTCCCAGGTTGCTGGGCGTCACTTGGTAAGCTTGCCCCTCCCGTTGGCAACTCTTAATCTTCTGGTCTTCCCCTCTCCCTTCTCTGCCCTCTCTGTGCTGTAGGTTTGCCACAAGCGATTTAGCAGCACCAGCAATCTCAAGACCCACCTGCGACTCCACTCTGGAGAGAAGCCTTACCAGTGCAAGGTGTGCCCTGCCAAGTTCACCCAGTTTGTGCACCTGAAACTCCACAAGCGCCTACATACCCGAGAACGGCCCCACAAGTGCGCCCATTGCCACAAGAGCTACATCCATCTCTGCAGCCTCAAGGTCCACCTGAAGGGGAACTGCCCCGTGGCTCCGTCCACCGGGCTGCCTTTGGAGGACCTGACCCGGATCAATGAGGAAATCGAGAAGTTTGACATCAGCGACAACGCTGACCGGTTGGAGGACATGGAGGACAACCTTGATGTGACCTCTGTGGTGGAGAAGGAAATTCTGGCTGTGGTCAGAAAAGAGAAAGAAGAAACTGGCCTGAAAGTGTCTTTGCAAAGAAACATGGGGAATGGACTCCTCTCAGGGTGTAGCCTTTATGAGTCATCAGACCCGTCCCTCATCAAGTTGCCTCACAGCAACCCACTACCTCTGGTACCTGTAAAGGTCAAACAAGAAACAGTCGAACCGATGGATCCTTAAGATTTTCAGAAAACAAAGTGTTTTGTTTCTTAACTTACGACTTGGCAAGGCCCGGGGCCTGCAGCAGTTGTTTGTACATACTTCCCGTGCTGCAGAGATCTGCCAGCAAATGGCTTCCCCTCACCTCTCTGGAATGAAAGAAGGAACTCCAAAGTTACTGAAATCTCAGGGCATAAATATGACAAAGACAATATATATATACATATTATATATACTTATTTACACCCCATCTATATATTTGAACCTGTGTATTTTGAATATTTGTGTGAATATGTTTGCATAGCCTTTCCTTTACTAAGACTATTGCCTAGTCATAATTATTTTTTCAATGGTAATCCTTCATAATTTATTATACAATTTATCATTCAAAAAGCAATAATTAAAAAAGTTTACAATGACTGGAAAAATTTCTTCTAATTTGAATTTAAATGTTATATTTGTTTTGTAGCCATTCTTTATAGATAATTTCTGCACATCTGTCTCAGTACCAAAAACTTAACTAAGATTTAGTGAGCAAATATATTACTTAAGTCGACCTCCCTCTATAATAAGGTTTTGAAAATGAGGTTTTGATATTGCCAAAGTCGGACAGTTGATGTGTTAATTCATAGGATCTATCGTTATCACTTGGACAGCATTGTATGGCTTAGGGGTATGTGTGCAGAATTACCCAATAATAACTTCTTTAGGAGATAAGAGAAATCTTGTCTGTTGCTGTAGATAGTTCAGATTTCCCCCCCAGCCACCAGCTTACCAGAGAGGAGGTAAGACTTTGCCACCCTGTCTCCTCCGAAAAGCAGGGTCACCCACAAAAGGAACATGACTTTTGTTTCCCAGTGTATTATCTGAAAATGTGAAGAAGACAAAATGCCATGTTGAAAACCACTGCGAAACGTTCCCTAAGCATAGGTGGTTTTGTGTGTGTGTGTGAGGATTGGGGGCTTGAGTTTGGGTGATGTTTTTGTTGTTGGTTTTGTTGTTGTTGTTGTTTGTCAAAATTGCACAAACATGGTGCTCTACCAGGAAGGATTTGAGGTAGATTAAGGCTCAGGCCATACTTTAAAAACAGAAAATCTGAATAACGGGTATTCTCATTGTCTTAGGGTTAAAACGGGTAATGAACATTCCTATCCCCAACACATCAATTGTATTTTTTTCTGTAGAATTCAGATTTTCCTCAGTATTTGTGTTTTTACATTTTATGGTTAATTTAAAGATGAATGGGCATTGCAAAGTTTGTTCAACAACAATTACCTCATTGAGTGTGTCCAGTAGTGCAGGAAATGATGTTTTATCTAGTGATTTGCTACTTTAGAGGAGAAAGTAAGTATGCTTCAGAAAGATAGAAATGTGCCATTCTATCTTTTCTTCTGCCAAGCCCAAAAATGACATGTAGGCATTCAAAGTGTAGCAAAGAATGATGTATATTTATAAATCTATTTATACCACTATACCATGTATATATATAATATATTTATAACCACTTAGATTGTGAGCCAAACCATGTAAGGAACCTAATTTTCCTAAGGCAAAAGAAAAATAAATCAAACCCTTTCTGAGACTATGTTTAACGAAGCTTGCTGACCTCACAATCACATTGGTGAGCTGGGGCACCCTTTTGCTGATATAACAGACCCTGAAATCTTGGTGGACACTGTAACAACCAGGGAGAAAAGAGATACATTGTCTTTTTACCATTGAGAACAAGCGAAAATGATTATTTTTGTTTTGTCACAGTATGACTTGGTCACACCCAAGTCACAGAAATAATCCCACTATTGCTCCTGTGACCACCATTAACGGCTCTCTCTTCCTCTCCCTTGTAAGTAAATGATATATCACTAATCGATCTGGATTAAATGCTCACCATTTTGTTCATGGCAGCTAATGTCAGAAACCTGCAGAAAAGAACAACAAATTTAGGATAATCTAGGGAAACCCTAGAGCCTTACTGATCTGTACCTGTAAGCAGCAAAACTGACCATTTTCTAATATACGGGTGTTTGATAAATAAACAAGACCCTTAACTATAGCAAATTAAAGCATCACATTCTGACACTGACACCGTGTACTTTTCTGTTCCCAGCCACTTATTTTTTTCTTTAATGCTCTCTGATAGTTGAAATTTTTACAGAGATCTGCGCAGTGGCTTGAGTCTTTGCTTCTCTGTACTGTCTGACTTTCCATCTTAGGCCTCTTACATGTGAATTTTGAGCCCACAATCAACAGTGGTTTTATTTTTTTTTCCTTCTACTCAAAAGTTAAAACTGACCAAAGTTACTGGCTTTTTACTTTGCTAGAACAACCAACTATCTTATGTTTACGTACTGGTTTACATTGTTATTTATGTGCAAATTTTCAAAATGTAAATTAAATATAAATGTTCATGCTTTACCAATACTTGTCTAATGTCTTGAGTGAAGAGCCAAAGAACTACATCTTAACCACAGGGTAAGGGTGGGCCCAGAACAAATGGAAAACGTGACACAGTGCCCTTCTCTCCCTTCAGCCCTTCCCTGTATGCAGCTATGACTCTGGTTCCCTGACCCTTCACCCCCTTTGGGAACTAGTGAACAACTTAACTGTGTTGATCTGTTGCTTCTTGCCTAACTCATCAGTATAAGATCTTTAATAAGCTCCAACAGCATCTGTATGAAAAGCATTTCAAGCGTTAGGCAGTAAGTCGGGGAAGATTTTTTTTTTGCTTTTGTTCGACTTTTGTTTATTTGGTGAATATGGGTGAATATTTGTTAAGGATCAATTCCAGAAATGCCTGTGGGGAGGGGGGTGTGTGCATGTACACATGCCTGTGTGTCTGTCCAGCCCCCTTATGGGTGAAGCCCCTGAGGAGCTGAATTGAGGAGCACTGTCCACTGGTGACATCATGTTCACTGTATTAGTACTGAGCATGCTACATGGGAAAAATACCTTAATGCATTGTCTCCGGCCTTACATCCCATACTACTTTTTCCCCTTCCCATTTTATCAGAGGAAGTAGATTTGTTACTTGTACATTTAAATGAAATTTGATAAAGTTTTTGTTTCACCTTGGCATGTGAAACCCATGGAGGTGGTATGACCAGGCCATTCCAATGAGGTGGGAACAGTCTACATACATGCTTATCCATTGATCTAGAAACTTTAAAATGTATAGGCACAAGTAAATTTGAGTCTCCCTAGGTAGTTAAGAATGGGTGTGGATAGTGGTGCCCTCAGTGAACAAAATCTAAAAGTCCATTGCAATGGCTTTCATGCTTGCCATCTCATCCACTATCAAGTCCATAGTTCTATGCCCACATTAGCTGCAGGTTAGGAAATATTTGGACACTTAACAACTGCCTGATTTTTTTTTTAAGTTTCTTCTTTATATTCACTTAAACATCTGTGCCAAAAATTTGAAACATTGCCAACATGTAACTGTAGAGTTAAGAAAACCAGAACCCTACTGTCATAAACGTGCCAAATAGTGCTGGTTGCACTACTAAATTCTACAGAACGATTATGGTAATAATTTTTCAAAACAAAGCCCAATAAGATCCAGAGTGTAGCAGTTACTATCATAAATCATACTTCTTTACTTGGCAAAGCCTATCTTTTTTTCTTCAGAGCTATATATCTTGGACCACTGGTGGACTTCGCTGTTTAATGAAACATTACATGAAAAGATAATATTCACGAGGAGCTTGAGTCCACCCGGCCCACATCCACTGTTAGATCACGGCTTCATGCAGCTGTTTGTAGGGCAAGGCAAGACTAAAGAAGCCATCTTTTTCCTGAGTTTCCTGAAAATAAAAGCTTTTTAGAAATGATGTATTACATTCCCCACTATAAGGCAATATATAGAATATGTGTTTCCATGGGAGTTTATGGGCACATTTCCTGATTCCATACCACCGTGCCCTTGGGAGATGGGAAACCAAGTTCAGACCACTTGTATAAGTGAGTTTAATTGTGTGTGTGTTTGGGGGGTGGGGGGGGCAGTGTTGTTATCTTAAAAATAAAAAAAAAAAAGGAGATACTGGGAGAAGGCCAGAGCAGAGAAAGTAATTACAGGAACATGATGAAGAATTTCTGACCAGGCCTTTATAAAGCCTTTAAAAGTCAGACCTCAGTCCTGGAAAGGAAGGCTATCCCACATAAAGTGACACCAAAAAGAATAAGTGGGAGAGAAGCTGGACAGATTGTGATCAGTGAACCAATCAGATACCTTTTTATTTCCTTTAGGAGAATGTAAGAGTTATTTGTCTGTACTGTGGCCATCTCATCATCATTTTTGGCCAAAGAAATCAGAACACTGGCTACCTCTTTGGTGTCCACTTCTAGATATACAGCAGTTGCAAGAAATGTTTGAAACACATGGATAAACCTCCCATCACATCCTTTTCAACTTCAAGTCCTCAGAGCCCTCAAGTCCATTTGTTTCAACTGGTGCTGGCAGCTGCTTCCTTAAGGAGAAGTAATCTTAATCTCAATACTGCCTTAATCATGTCATTTAGACAAAACACTCCAAGATTCCAAAAAGCTATTTTAACCTGACTTATGCAAATATTCTCCAAGCCCAGTTTGTACAGAATACTATACACTAACAAGCTCCTTCCTAGTTCTCTTTTCCTTCTAGGTTCGACCAACAGTGAGCCAGAGTTGGCCATGTACACAATTCCCGTTCTCTGAGTTTAAGATAGAAGCATTTATCATGAATGTGAGTGTAGCCACAGTGAAGCTTTCTCCTACCCCCATCAAAAAAGAAGGAAGTGACAGATAAATACCAGTAGGTGATTCTGGTCAGAAATACTTCATCATATTAACAAAGGGGATTTGTTCTTTGGGAACTGCGGTACAGCTAGCCTTTAGGTATCTGAGAGACTCACCTGTGGGTGATAGCTGGCAGCTGTTCTCCATTAAGATGAGAAGCAGCACAAAGGAAATGAAATTAGACCATAGCAGAAGGGCCGTGGGATAAATCACAAAGACTAATGTCTGTCTTTAGGGTTTGTAACACAATGGGTTCCTTTCCGAGGGAGGGAGTAGTGTCTCCTTCCTGGGAAGGCTTAGACAGGAGTCAGCGTATTTGAAAGCACAGGATGATGCTCTGGCAAGTCCTTCCTAGATCCATAATTCAAAGATTTCTATCAGCCTTAGAAGTGATGATGTACCCGAGACAAGATAGCTATCAGACTTTGGTAGAGAACTTAAATTTCCTTCATGTTTCCTTAATGTTGCTAGGTAACTCTATATATAGTTGTTAAACACACACACATCTGTGTAGAGAACTTGTCTAGGTCTGAGAGTTTTACAACTATGAAATGAAATGTGCTCTATATTTTGTAAAATATTTGAAAATACATTCCACATTTGAGCCAGGGGATTCTGAAAGGTGTGCAATGAGACAGGGTGCCACTCTCACCTCACACTCTGTACTCTGCACAGCACCCAGCAACTAGCAGTGCCTTCTCAGTCCTGGCAGCTCGCTGGAGGGGAAGGGACCATCTCCTCCTCTCTTCCCATCAGTTCTGCTTTCTTGAGTGCTGTTTCCCAGCCACACAGCAAAGGGGGTGTGGCACCCCGTGGACCCTTTTGGGTAGCTCTTTCTCACCTCCCCTTTTTTAGCAAAAGCAACCTGAGAGAGGTAGGTTGTGAGACCAACCAACTCAAGACCACTAATGGAATTATTTAACTCCTTCCATGACTCCAAGTCTAAAACCACCCAGGATGGGAACTGTGCTTGTGAGCTCCTGCTGTAAAGAGCAGTGATCTGGGGAAG